CCCTTCCTAAACTAGGCCTGGATTAATTTAGTTTACACTTTATTTTACAGTGTCTGTTACATACTTTGGTAATAACAGTGAATTCTGCAATTACATGCAACTAGTCCTAAAACAAACCCTAACCCTACAGTAAGTACGTGTTGTTAATTAATATTTCTCAGTGCTTAAATGTATAATTACACTGTAACAAGGACAGCTTAAATAAAGTGCAGCCTATATTTATTTCAGCTGCGTAAAATGCATTTGGCGTGCTTGTGTTTTTATATATAACGTGTGTTGAATATTTACACGTCCAGACGTTCCACTCAAAAAAAAAAAAAATGCTACAGTTTGTATATGAATGGGGAGCAGAATTGGGCGCAGCTTCTGGTCATCTTTCCCTGGCCCACTTTATTCAATTAGTCCAGGCTGTTGGGCCCCGCCCCAGCTGATGACACCACAGACCCTCCTTAAGTTGCGTCGCGCCACAGCTGTCTGCGAGCATTGAGCTGACTGGCGCCATCCTGAAAGAATGCCTTCACTGTAAAAAAACACAGAGAGAGCAGTGCATTCAGAGACAGAGGGAGTGAGCACTAGCGAGAGCGAGAGAGAGAGAGAGAGATAGAGGGCGGGATGGAAATAGAGTAAGGGAAGAGGGTTACTACTACTGTGCATACACACAGATTTGATCAAACTTGTGTTCAGTCAGAAGGCAGAAAACTTATCCAGATCGAACCGGGTCGGCCTGAACCGTCAAACTCACTTGTTGAGTCTACGCAACGCAACAGCATACTGAGAGAAAAACTTGCGGAACTTGACGCGTGTTTGGATGTGTACTCGGACTTATGACCAACATTAGTATAAATGCATTTGACTTTCACAAGTTAATGCGCGTTTATTGAACGGACGGATCCAGTTTGACAGAGAGAACACAAACGAACGGACGGACTTTGTAAAACAAATTGTCTTGTTCAATTTCAGGTGATCGGAAGTAAAAAAAAAAAAATCAGTGGATTAAACAAAGGAGGAGTTTGGACTTTTTTTTTTGAACTTTCGTGTTGTGTGTTTCGCTGAGTGTATGAACGCTTGTTAAAGAAATAAAAACTAAAAACGATGGAAGTAAGTCCGGAGCAACCCCGTTGGATGACCCATCATCACTCGGTCATTAACGGCCAGCATCCCGAGACACACCACCCAGGACTGGGACACTCCTACATGGACCCGTCGCAGTATCCCCTCGCGGAAGATGTGGATGTATTGTTTAATATCGACGGACAGAGCAACCACCCGTACTACGGGAACTCGGTTCGGGCTGTGCAAAGGTACCCGCCACCTCACGGTAAGTAGCCTATGAGTCCTAAGTTATTTTACATTATTCCTCTTATGTCAGTTCTGACTAAATTTATAATATGTAATAAGACAGGAGCTGCTCTTAGGATTGTACTGAAAATGCAACTGGCTCTTTTGAACAATGTCAGTGTAGTTTACGTGTGGCTTACCTTAGGTGGTGTGTCACTGGTTTCACATCTTTCTAGTATTCAATGGTTATTTGACTTTTTAGGGTATACAGTAATTGTATAATATTGGGCAATGCAATTCATTCCTTTAATTTTTAGAAAACGGTTTAATTTAATTTTAATGATAAAAAATAAAATGTGAACAATCAGTGTTATTCGAAAACACACATTGCTAATTGAAATATAGGCCTATTATATTGGTAGAACGATGCTGTAATATATCAAAGTAAAACTATTTTCTAGTAGCACTAGCTGGCTGGGATTCAATTGAATGACTTTATGACTGAATGATTTAAAAGTCAGTCTCTAAATAATTAAGCGCATTTTTCCTGTACTAGGTACTTGAATTTTAGTGCGGAAGAACAATTGCTTTAATTTATTGACATGACTTCCTGAGCGGAATGGGGCAAAGCGTGACCTTGTTTCTCTTTTGAATTGCCCCATCTCTAAACATATCAAAACTTTCAAAATCCGTGCAGCATCAGTAGATACTGGTTGGCATCGAAAGTCTTTTGAAAGTGAGAAACCGGAGGGGGCTGTTAATTGCGACCCTTCCCAGCGCCATCGAAAGCCTCTCAATAATGTAGGCCTTTACGTGCAGTTTCACAGTTTTACTCATTTAGTCAAGTTGCACTAGTTCTTTCATGCAATAAAAGACCGTTGCTGAAAGGGGTTCAGCTTATAAAAATACCAGATATGTGTGAAATGCATGTAAAAAAACATAACAATCAAAATGTACTTGGTTTTTGCAGCGCTGTGTTGTAAAAAATATCCTGAATGATTTTTTGCATGCAATTTTAAATTTGTATGTATACATGTCATTATGCATCTTTCTTTAATTATATAGTTTATTACACACACATAATTGTGACATGTAACATTTGTGTTTGCAATACAAAGCCTGCTTTTTAATCGTTCAGATGTTATTTCTTGGCTTCTTAATGTGAGGAATCCCACAGCCCCACCTAGTCCTGTCCTAACAACAGGCTTTGTCTTTTGTTTCAGCAGGTACTCAGGTGTGTCGCCCATCATTGCTGCACGGCTCTCTTCCTTGGCTCGATGGAAGTAAATCTATCGGCCCTCACCACAGTACCTCCCCCTGGAACCTCGGGCATTTCCCCAAGACTTCCCTGCATCACAGTTCCCCCGGGCCTCTGTCTGTCTACCCCCCAGCCTCCTCCTCTTCGCTGTCCGCTGGTCACTCCAGCCCACACCTCTTCACCTTTCCCCCCACTCCACCCAAAGATGTGTCCCCTGACCCCGCAATTTCCACGTCAGGCTCGGGCTCATCCATACGGCAGGAGGACAAAGAGTGCATTAAATACCAGGTGTCTCTGGCCGAAAGCATGAAGCTGGATTCGGCTCATAGTCGGAGCATGGCCTCTATTGGACCGGGCGTGTCCTCCGCGCACCACCCCATCGCCACTTACCCATCCTATATGTCCGATTACGGGCCGGGGCTCTTCCCACCAAATAGCCTGATAGGTGGGTCCTCTTCTAGTTATGGTTCCAAAACGAGACCAAAAACAAGGTCCTGTTCAGGTAGGCGTGCGCTTTATTACCCTTTGATTTTTACTAACATAATCATAGTAAGATCATTCAACAGTAGCTTTTCCTCTAAAAAGCTATCTTATTGTGCACTTGCCATTCTATTCGTTTTTCTCAAAAACAGCCTCCCAGGTTAGCCAATTCCCAGACCATTGGTTTGGTCCTGGACTCCCTTTTTTTTTTTGGTCTGTGCCAAGGCTTGGCTATCAAATATGGGCAGTCCACATCCCTTATTCAAAGAGCATCAATGGCTCCATTCCTTAAAATATAAAAGAATCTACAGTGATTAAAGATATTACAAGATAATATACAGCTAAATAAAATAAAGCAACACACACACACACACACACACATATATA